AGAAAATAGACACGGATATCTGTATATTAAATAAAGTAATATTCTCATTGAGCAGGTATTCTATGTGTGTGGTATTTAAAGTATCCGAATCTTACCCTTATTCTCTATTGTAACGCGTGAGTTGTTGATAGCTCCCGCACTCGCCAATAGAGGGCTACGCTCAACCCTTCTCTCTCGCGAGTACTCGACCGACCATCTATTTCTATACAGTATTGTCTCTATAGAAGCGACGCTCTCGGGGCTCAACGCTCGGCTATATCGTGGACGAGAAACGATTCTTGATACTTTGTTGACGCCTACTGGAGGCGGCGAGTATAGAAAAGAACAGCGAGCATATGACAAAGAGGGACTGAGCGGCCGAGCATCGCCGAATTTGCTATCGCTTCCTTCGCTTCGGGTCGGCTGTAACGAAACACAGGCGATGTTTATGCGAGCCTATACGAAATCGGTGTTCTAATTCTGACTTCTACCTCTCTTGGTAGAGGTCGCAGAATGAAATATTGATTCTGTATAGGCTCGCGTAAACATCGCCTGTGTTTCGATACAGCCGACGTGGAGTCACTTGAGCGATGCATGCCTTTGATTTCTTATTGCGTTAGTAAATAGGACCTAAATTGTATATCGTATTTGGTGTCATTTTAATCAGAAAAGTGTCACGAATATGTTGATGAAGTTTGAAAAAAGGAAGAACAAAAATAAAGATGAATTTCGTTGTTGATTTAATATTGTATATGTACTAGTTAAATCGTGTCATAACTTCAGTACATATATGTATGTATCGATCGTTTACTGCAATAGTGATATAACCCGAAAAGATATACATAACTTGCGAATTTAAACTGTTTAACCAACTTATTTTACTCTGAGTTGTCTCACGATTTCGGCAAATAAATGATAGGTCAATTAAATTACAATTCCTTTTTTCAGATGAGGATACACTTTAAAGAAAGGTCAAATGTATATTATAATTTATGAAAAACAATAATAAAAATTATGTTGTACTTGATCTTAGTTAAATCAGAAAACTGTCACAGACATGTTAAAAGTTTCAAAACAAGAAAACGAAAAATAAAAAATTTGTATTATTGCACTAGTGTTGCCTTAGTAATTTGAGCCCGTATCGTATGACAATGTTCGACGACCGACTGTCAAACGCGCCGCTATCTTGGGGAACCGCCCATAGGAAGGCATACTCGCCGATACAGCGAGTGCTTAGTTCTAACGGTACGCAGTGGGGATAAGTAGAGGGGATATGATATTTGCCTATATCGTGGACGAGTTCCGAGCTTATATAGAGAAAATACTGTATATATATATTACTGACCATCACTTTGCCGACGAATCTCCTCCTTTCCAAGCCGCCACATTCAAAATATCAAATCTGAAATAAATAATTCAGTCTTTTTAGTCTCTGCTCGATCTCAACACTAGTTCCACCCAAAACAACCAGATTCCCAAGAGACGGGGGCGAGCTACTATCTTCAGTTTCGTCCATGTCCGCTGCCAAATAACTTAACTTGCTAGCAAATTACCACCGCGAACAAAGAGCCACCCGGGGTATGTCAAATGACGACCGATAATTCTTTCCTGACAAATGGCAACGGCCGCGGGAGTATTTGTCATTCTCCCGTTGCGCGACGACCACGGAAAAGCATCCAAGTTTTCTCCCCCGATCGCTGTCTCGTGCCACCACCTTTGCTCGCGCGAATTCCACCGAATCCCAAAGAGTTCCACGAATTCCCCCGCAGTCCCGTAGAGTCTCGACACTTCGAGATCCCCCCGGCGAGTCTAATCGAATCTTTAAACGGCCCTCCGGGTCGCCATGTTCGTGGACGTCGTTAGGCGAGAAAGTGCCGCGGCGGCGTTAGTTTATCAATCATTCGAACCGTGCAATTACAAACACGCGGTTTCCCCCCCTCCCGCCCCCGTGTCTTTCGCCTAACGCGCGGTCGGAAATTTACTTTGTCGCGACACGCGGTCCAGCCGGGCAACGTGTTATGCATTGTTGGAGGGTGGTCGGTCGCGAACCGCATACCACGGGTGTTTTGCTCGTCGCGACACTCCACCGACGCCGTCTCCTTCTCGCTTTCAGCGTTTCGTCGTTCCGCGCGTGACATACGGGACACTGACACGGCGGGACACACACGCGCGGAAAGCGAAATCCGCCGCTTCTGCACAATGTCGCCAAACGGTAGAATTATTCACGGGCGAGCGCTGTCGCCCTCGCGCCTAGTAACCCGCTCGTTTAAAGATGCGACCGGAGGCACTTCGCTGGTTAAAGCCCACGTGCATTAACCGAGACACGGATAGGCGACGAGTGACCCAACTGACGGGTACTCGGGAACGTTTTATTCGCGTTTCGTGGTTCCACGCGAATATTACCGCGTTTGATCTTTCGACACGGTGACATGTTGATCAATTTAGACGCTCACGGTTTTATATTATAAAATGATTGGACGATGGAAGAAATTTATTTTTGTAGCGAGATAAATATCACTCGAAATTGTTAATCGATCGGAGAATCGTGGCTGACAGTCGCGTTCGAATATCGAGCATTAACTTTGATTTGTAACTCTGGTCTAGTTATGCCAAAGTTACGATTCGCTCGAGTATTACGCCTCGCTTGCACTTCAAACATGCTACAGGATTGATTTACGGTAATCTTCGCTAGCTCGCGATCGCAGACCGCCGGTTATATTTGCGAATAAAACTCGCGATTATCGGGGCTGTAAATTCTAAAGGCTTAAGATTCATTTTTTCTAACGAAAAGTATTCCAACGGAATTACGAAATACCGTTCTATTTCTGGCGAGGACGGGTTTAGGTCACGTTCGGTGTTTCGATTTTGATCTTCCCGCGTATTTGTGGAATACGATATCGGTTATATCGAGAGATACAGGTGGCCGAGAACCGTAATTCATTTTTCGATACAAGCTTTCGCTTATTCGAAGAGAAAGGCGACAGAAACGGCCCTTAAATCATCGTTTTGTCAATGTTGATTTTGAATTGCTGCCTACTCGGGATAAGCTTCCCTCTGTTCGTTGATTTACGAGTCCTAAACGTCGTTTATCCTTTGCTCGAACGGAACAGAAATTAGACCAACGTACGCCGATGGTATGAATCGCCGTGCTTCCCGTTCCTCTTTTTGTCCTTTTTATTTCGCGGTCGTAAAAATGATTTACGCACCTTCGGGAGTTAGTGAACCAGGTACTTGCTTTGCTGTCGTTCGAATGGCTTCCGATAATATTCGTCAACCGTTCCGCAAATTTGCTAACGTCCCAGGAAACGATACGATCCTGTTCCTGGCAGCTTTACGACTCTGTCCATCGAAACGTAACAAAGATCCGCCATCGACGTCCTCGATGATTCTTGGAAAGCTATAAACATTACCAAACGTGCTAACTTTTAGTTACAATATTTAATTCTTTCTTTTTGCAACGAGTTTAGAAGGAGATTATTAAAAAATAAAAATGAAGAGAAATTTAAAAAAAAAATTGATAATGTGGATTCTGGTGGTTACCAAGCGGTCATCTAAGGGTTCAGATAATGGTCGTTCCGATGATTTCCCTGTAAGTCGTAAATCTTGCGGTACTTTAGGTTGGACCGTCGACCGGACAGCGGTAAATCATCTTTTTCAGAGCAATTGCTTGCTTCCCCCCACTGAATGAAGTATACACAGTAGTGGCGACAAAGATAGATCGTATATCCGTATTGTTGATACAAGAATAGCAATTTTACTGGGGCACGAAACTTGCACTTCGAAGTCGGAGAGAAAATTTACGACGACGCACACCCCCTCGATAGAAAATTATATTTCGGAAAAGATTTATTGTAAACGCGCCCGATCACGGCCAAATACCTGTCACGTTTTTACTTCGAGAAAAAAAAAACATTTGCAACGATTCTTAACTATTTTGGTAAACTTCAATTTAAGAGGAAACAACGAGAAGAAATTTTTAAAAATATACAGTGGCCTTAGCGAAGAGTCAACAAGTAAACGAAGATTTCAGGAATTTAAAAATTCCCTCCCCTCTTGAATTCTTGGACAAAATTTTAGCTAAATGGAAATTTCTAAAACATCTTCGTTATTTTTTTTGGTTTCTATCGACCATTTATTTACTAGCTCGCTAATAGGGACCACAGCCCTATCCGCGTAGAAAAATCTTGGAATCCGACCAACGTCTCCAGCCACTAAATCACCCCGGTCTTCGCGAAAGAATTCGAGATCGACGCCGGGGATAAGCTTTTTATTTTTATTCGCCGCCAGCTTCGATGTAACGACCGGGTAATTTCGCGGGCGTAATCTTCGAATAGAAAGAAGTATCTCGCGCGTGACGTATCGGATCGCATCCGTGTCTAATTTTACCGCGATCCACGCGGCGACACTGTTCTTTTATTCGATCGCCCCTCGCGCGAAATCAAAATTTTTCGGTCGGTGATTCATTTCCGAGCGCGCCTTCTGGCTTAGAAAGTCAAAAATAACATTCAGCGAACATCTTCCTCCGATACCGCCGATAATAATACCTCTTTGAAACAGTACGCTAGGTTTAGCCGCGAAGATTTAAATTATTTCTTAAAGGCTCTCTTGATGGCTAATCTTAGAAGACTCCTTAAGACCTAATCGTCACTCAGCGAGGTCTTCCGCCTTAAGCACGGCACAGATCGTCCTTAGTTCCCTCCGTGTAAGCAATCGTTTTGTTTACCGGGGAAATGAATCGTTCGCTATTCCCTGTCCGTACCGATCATTCTTGTTCCACGAACCTGCTTCGAACGTGTTCGGGGAGCAACGATTTTTCCGTTATCGGTGAAAGTGGTCCAGTTCGGGAACTGTAAAACAGAAATTGTAAATGAACGAGGTGTACAGAGGGTGATTTCAACAACTGGGTCAGGCTGCAGCTGTGATCCAAGTTAGATACTGGTTAATGTTCGCATAAAACTCGGCCATAGCGTGGCCCAGTTAGCGCAAACATCCTGTACGTTAAAAACGATAGCTGGTGGTGGTAAAGGATAAAAGCATAGTCTTTGGACAGATTACGAGGAAGTGGTCGGCGGGAAACGTGTCGAAAATGAAAGTCGTTTCGGCGAGAAACTATTTCCGTCATGGATGTCGTGCCACCCCCGCCGTAGTCTCGCGGCATAAGGGCTCTCATAAATATCATCCGATGGCTTTGGTCGCGGTTGTCGACGATGCGTGTCGTCTTCGTGATCTTCCGGGCGAAACTGCGATCGGAGTGTCAAAAAGCGGAGAGGAAAAGGGCGGGATAGATGTTCGGGACGCGTTCGAGACGTTGGGCCAATCGGAATTACGAGAGAACGGCGGATTTGGCTCGAAATTCTGGCAGAGAACTGATTTTCTCGAAGGTAGGGGAGACTTCAAATTCTATACAATGTTCTAGTAAGTATAAAAAGCTTTGGAGCATTGAAAGTTATTTGCTCGTTCTATGTTCTGTTCTAGATGATCTTGGGCCACAGAAAATACAGAGGACAGCTCTTCGAGCCAGCTGTATATTCTAGGTATAACTGTGAACGTCTACGAAGGTTGCAACACTTTTTCTGCGTTATATACATTAATTTAGTAATTGTTTTATAAATGTATTTCGATTGAATTTAACAACTGGAATCTACAAGAATTGTATACACTGAGAAACGATTGACAATCGAAGGATCGCAACTGAACGAGAGTTCTATTACAACTCTTGACGATTTCAGGCTAGAATCTACAGAATTTTACAAAGGATCAAGACCGAACAAGATGCAATGAGATTGCGCGTAAAGCACGCGGAAGATACAGCAATGGTGTAGAAGCGAGGGGGGGGGGAGAAAAAACTAAAGAAAATTCCGTGCATCGTTCGTGGGAATGCGGCAGCCCAATTTCTCGCGTTCGTCGGGCAAGTTATTCCGTCGCGACGGAAGAGTATCCGTCGTTTATTGGCGCAAACGTGGACTCGTTATTGCCCCGGGGGACATATACCGTGGATCGTAAAGATCGCGCGATCGACCCACGATCTTGAAACGGAAATTTATCGCCGGTGCCGCGGATTTCCCGCCCGTGTTTTCCAACCCGTGTGCAAATCCGTAGGAAACGAACGACGCCCGAGCGTGGGCGCGTGTTCCGTGGCAGTTGGCGTCGCTCCAACGCGTGTTTCTAGCCGCTCGAACGAAGAAATGCGACACTCGTTTCGTCGGGACGACTTTGTCCGCGGATCTCGCGAAAGTCTCGGCGCACAGCTCCGTAACAAACTTTACGCGTCGAACTAGATCGAACCGCGACTCGTGACCCGCATGCGATACACCCAGACAGTTATCGCCGCTGTCTTCATTCACTTTATCGAATCCAAGTGTCGTTTGCTAATAAAATGAATACGAAACACGATTACCGTGTACAAACCGAATTTTATTTATTTATTTATTTATTCCGTAGATACGAATCCCTAAATATTGCGTTTCCTCCGGAGATCAATGAAGACATCGACTTTGTCATCTCTATATTTTTTTAATTAGCGATTCAAAGGGTAGAGAATCTTTTTAGAGCAACTGTTATCACTGACACACGCACATTTGGAGCGTCATGTATCGACCATAGACCCGGACTATCGATCGCGGTCATCGACATCGCTTTTTGTCGCGAACACTCGCGAACAGGTGATCTCGAATGTTTACGATTTCGGCCATTGGCTCGATGACCGATCGCGCGCCGTATTTATCCTCGAGCTCGATTTCGTTTCGCGAATCTAGCACAACAGAACGTCGTCTCTTTCGTACGCAGGCATGTCGTTGACCTTTCTTAAAAATTACGAGACTCGATCGCATTTTTACGAAACGTCGAGGATCGGTGAATCGTTCGAAAGTGGATTCGCGGTACTCCAGTTCCCGAAGACAGAAGAAACAAGCAAAGAAACGTAAGTAAATCGTTGAATGGAATCAACGATCGTTCCCGTTGTTTCTGTCTGACGCATTCCGCGGCTCTTGAGTGCTTTTCAGCGCGAGGAATTCGTAAATATTTCACTCGCGCGCTAAAATAAAGTCCCTCGCGAAGTGCATCGGGCCTAGCGAGGCCTCGTTGGCTGATTCATCGATTGTTATACGCGAAACGGAACACTCTTTCGCTGGTGAATTTCCTCGGTTTACTTTAAAATATCATCCGAGGACCGTGGTTGTCAGCGAAATAAACAAACAACGACGATTTGTCAGCCCGGAAGCGACGAAGAAAACTCTCGAGCAAAAATTAATCGATCTAAACTGTTGGGGCATTAGAATCAGAGTGACCCATTTTCACCTATTTGCGGATGTGTTTCATAAATGCGTTGAATCGATTAAATTAAATATGTAGGTCGTAAACCAGGCGCGAAGCGACGTTCGAGTCTAACCATCGCGTCTTTCGAAATCGTTTGTGATTTTATAAAACTTTATTCTTAGTACAAGGTCGAAAAAAAACGAACGAGATAAGTTCGACTAAACGAATATCGTTGAATGGACTTGTTTTAAAAATCGTGTGCAAACATAGCGATAAGAATCAGAACTCGTAATTGTAATTTATTCGGCAGTCGTAAATAATTTATCAGCGTTTCTTAAATCGTCGGTCGCGTCGTGCCTGCTAATGTAAACCGTAAATTTACTTATCTAAAACTGCCATATTTTGTAACGTGTTTCGTTAAAACATACTTTTACGATTTTAGTAAAGGTCGACGCGTTATGTAGTTTAAAGGTTCGAGTAAACAGTGGTAAATGTATATCTTGTTTCGTACTTTATGGTCTCCTTAGCGAGTTGAATTTCGTTTCCAGTTCCGTCTTATCTCGGTCGTTGCACGCGATATACGCGACCGCGCGCGCGATACGATTTCATGTTCGAAGAATTAAATCGGTTCTACCTTGTTTCGCGATATTCCGTTCTTAATTACGGTTCAGATCGATCCCGGGAGGCTTTGCTGCGAGCATCGTGGAAATCACGACATACTTAATGACGCAAAGATACGTTTGATCAATATTACGCCCATATTCTCGTTCCACTTAAATCTTGGCAACTTATGCGACGGCTGCAAATGCAACGCAAGAGGCCCGCTCGGTCGAGAATCGCACGCGATACCGCCATATTGTTACGTTATCAGGATACACACCGCTTACCAGACTTTGACATTAATCCATTGAATAATTAATCGTAATTAACTTCAACCGTAATTGCGAATCGCGGATTGACAGAGCTCGATTTGCAATTAGCACGTTTGTTGCCCGTTTTCCGTGTCCAGAGACGTCCTCGACATTTGTTCGTAATTAAATTAATTGTAGGTTTTCAATTACGCGACACGATTACGCAATGTATACACATAATTCGTACGTTGATAAGGAGATCTATACACGCGAACTTATTTAAACAAGAATATTGTCGCAGTGACATAATTACGTATTATAAACACAAAATAAACCAGTTTTCAGAACTGTCAATAAATTTTGAACTCTTGACAATGACCTTGGTTCGAACACGGCCATAACCTAAATGAGTATATAATAATACTGAAAAACGGATGTATACTGGAATCCTACTATTTTATCGAGTGTTCCTTGCCTTTTTTTTAGATTTCACTGATACAAATATTCACGAATTTAGTAATAGCCAATAAAACATTTTCCTATTCCATTTTTCATAAGACTGTACATCGAAGCAAATACACAGAGTACTAATGATACGACCATAACTCCAAGATGTCTAATTAAAGTTTTGTATCGAGTTACTTACATATTTGTCGTTAATAAGCGGATCTTATATATTTCTTGCTGGTTCCTGTTCCGTCCATCGATAGAAAGTTGCTTCGAAGTATTTAAAATGGCGCGATGAAAATACGCCCGCACCGCCATCTGGAGTTCGTTGCTTCCTGTATCGAGCAGCAGTAGAATGGCAGTTGCGCGCAAAAGTCTGTTTATTTACGTGCTGTCGATGATTAATTGATCGCAAAGTCGAATCCACGACCGATATTTGCTAAGTGTGCCTCGCAGTGACGAGATCGAAATGGTGCACGCGTGACATACGCTGAAAATTAAAACGCTACTAAATGGGAAACGCGGTGAATGTCGTCGTCGACAAATTCAACCTGTCGTCGTTGTCATTCTAACCTATTTACCGAAACATTGTACCTTGCGTTCTGGAACTTTCCGACGCGCTGTCAACGTTTGTTTGCCAACAGTGGTTCGGCACGATGCCATGTTTCCGCAAACTTTGAGCACAGAACCGTGCAAAATCGTGAGCATGGCCGACGAAGTACTGCCGGCGAGTTTGGAAAAGCTCGAAATTGATCGTCTTTCCTCGAGTTGTCCTCAGTAAGCATTTTACCACTGAACGTTCTCGGTTCCCTGACATTGATCATTCAAAGCGCCTGCTCCTCGCAAACATCCCTCCCAATTCCCTCGAACGTGCTGAACCTACTATGTGTATGCACGTTCGATGTATCGGATCGTAGCGGTTTTGCGACTCAACCCCTTTTCACGCGCGGTCAAGGTCTTCGATTAACGTTGCCTCGTTTCGCAAAGTACGTGACCATCTCTGTTTACATTGCGCGTGTTTTCGAGTTATTAACGATGCAAATGCTCGTGAACACGCATTTCAACGACTGTCGTTTCTTGTTCTCGATGGTGCGAGTCGACAACACGATTAACTGTCACCCGTAAGGCAATCGAATTGTTTACACGATAGAAACGAGTTCGATAGAGCGTTACGACGCTGTGCACGGTTCACGAGCTGTTGTTCCTGAATCTTTTACGCGTTGAGAGAAACCGTGGAGCAAAACGTCGAGTGTACAAGTGCAGTGCTAAAGTTGATATTACTAGTTAAAGTGCGTTTATTGTGAAGTAAATTTCTATTGACATTTGTTTTTAGTCGGCTTAACGCGACACTTTCGATAGTTCAAACGGGCATATTCTTGATTCATGTCATTGCATAAGATGCAGAGAAATAAATATTTGCCAATACTTGATTCCAGGCTGTGTGCCAAGGATTTCGAAATAATACATGAATTTTGAAATAATTGCTAATGTCTATGATAATTATATTCGTTTTGAAATTCTATTACTTATAAACGTTAATTTTTTGTTGTTTCAGTATTACGTCCACCGATAAAACAAACTCACCAAATCCGTTCAGGATGACCAGTAAAAACACTGGTTCCGACTGCAGTTACTTATTTCAAAGAAGATCGATGCCTGGCAGGCCGGTGTTAACCGCGGTCAGTCCTAGAGGCATAAAAAGCACAACGAACTTCAAACCATCAAGAAATGAAAGAGTACTTGATAAAACTAAGAAATCTTCGATAATCAAAGAGGCTGTTTTAAAATTAAACGATACTGGCACTAATTGTCTTAGCGATAATCTAGCAAATACACTCTTTAAAGAAACTTGTAAACTTAGTATTTCTTGGAAGAACACAAAAATTTTTGGTCATGGTTCGGTGGCAAAGGACTTTAAAGCGCTGAACATTAGTCAAGATTCTAGACAAGCTAAAGACGATACCAGCATTCAAGATAATTTTCAAGCTAGTAGTTTTCAACGAGCGCGTAGCAATACGATGCCCAGTTTAAAGAGGGGGCCTGGTCCAGGCGGAGGTAATAGCAATCAGTCGGAGACAAGCAGTTCGTCCGGTCAGCCTTCGAGTTCAAATACATGTTCGGTACAAGCGAGAATATCCCCACCTTCGTGCGACGTCACTATCGACGAACTTGCCAGCTACTTTGAGGAGTTTGTTCATATTCCAAAGAAGATGTCACACATGGCAGAAATGATGTATATTTAATTGTAATGTATTGAATTATTAACTGGCAGATTTCTTACACAGTTTTTCAAGGACTAGCATGCAGTGTTTATGCATGATCGTGAGTCTAAATATTATATGTTTGCTACAAAACCATTTAACTTGGTACCTAAATTATACATAATATACAATAAAAGCAAAAAAAAAAACAAAAAAAAAAAAAATGATAAGAAGAAGAATCTGCATCTGTGTAGAAGGAAAGTATTAAAAGTGATACAATTTCAATATCGGTTTAGAAAAAAGTGATAAAAGGTTAAGAAAAAAAAAAGAAGAAAAAAATGAAGAAAAAAATACGAAAATAATAAAACGATGTGCGGGTTTCTTTGTTTTCTAAAACCGTTTGTGTCCAGCTATTTTATTTAGTTCCTAATGAGAAAAATTTAATATCTTTATTTACAAATTTTTGTATTGTGAGATGAAAGATTGGTACTAGAATAAATTTCTTGAAATTAATATATTGTATCATTTAAATTCCCGTTCATCTACTACACGTATATCGAGAAAATAATGCTGCGTGTTGTGGAGAAAATATATATGTATATATCATTTGACGAGGTCATTAACACCCTTCTGTTAATATGATACATAATATATTTATCTGCATAGGCTTATGATACTTAATACAATGATACAAAGTAACCGTTAAATTACTTAATGATAATAAGCTTTGGTACGTAAACAATGACGATATATTGATCCATTTTACTTTAGGTACGAGTGAACCATGTTGACGCGCCGTGTACTGTGAAAACCTCGACGAAAGCCTAAATGCATTAAAAAATATCCATCTATTTGGTGTGCGCATCACGTGACGACTGTTTTCATTTTAACATCTACGAACGGTTATTCAGCAGTTTTCTAGTACGATGATTTCGTAGTAGCCCCGCGCAACACTCAAACTCTGTATCAAAACATGAGGTCTGTCGCTATATCACAGATTTATTAAAATTTCATTTGAACGGAGCCACAACGAAACGAATTTCAAGAGAGAAATCAGACTTTCCTTCGAAAGAATGCAACTCACAATTGGACAAGTCATTACGAACGATACGGAAACGAAAAAACTTTGTCGTTTATTATCGTCATATTCGAAACTTGTCTCCAAGCCGAGAGACGCAGTGTTTAGACAGAAATACCTTTCGATTAAAACGAAATCGATCTTCGATCCGAAAGACGAGTTAAGAACACTGCTGCGCGATATGTTTAACAATAATCATGAAAGTGTGGTTTGCTACGGTGGTAAATGTATGATTAAAGATTGAATGTGAACGGTATCGAAAAATGAAAACATTATTTTCAATGTATCACGATTTCGTAACTAATTAAATTGATTAAAGTGATAAAAATAACTACTCGATAATGGTAGTAAAAATAGAGTTAAAGTTATGAATTGCTACTCGATCGATAACTATGACGACAAACATTTACAGACTACGAAAGTTTAGCTCGAATCATTTAAATTCTACGATCTTAATATTCTATATTTGTCCGTCGCAACGAATGGTCGAGAAGTATTAAAAAAGTTGATAGCCTTACATTGTTGCGTAAACCAGCCAGCATATTAAGTATACTTTGCTTTGGACTACCGGACGCATAACGATGAATAGCATTATTGCATTCGTAACGGCTACTTTCGTAATCGGAACACGCAGCGTCTCCCGACTAGAATTCGTTTTCGAATGCATCTGAAAAAACGTCGGCGGAATATTTCGATTATTTTCCCTTCCTTAGAAAAATTCCTCGATATCTAGTACACCAAATACGATAGGGAGAGATTGCGCCTGTTTATAATTGGCATTTAAATATCGACAAACGGATAATAATAGCCGAGCAGGCACGTGTAAAATCACAACAGTTCTAAACTACCGTCAGAATTTATCGTCTTGTACTAAGGTCGTAAGAAAAACTTTTAAGACTTAAGTTTACGTTCGATAATTCAACGTTCGCGGGGAAAATTTTGTCGAGCATATTAATACATTCAAATGTAACTGTTTCTGTTCTTCGTCTAAACAATATCAGTCTCTAGGTCCAGTGGAAAGGCCACACGATGCCCTTACCGGTATAACATTTTTAAATATACCACTCCCTTTTTCTGTGTTGCTCGGATGAAATAATGTTACACGACAGCGACATTCAAGATGGAGAAATCAAACGTACTTCTAGTCCGTTAGGACGCTCCACCGTTCGTGCGAATCGAAATTCATCCACAATTGCTTCAGGTCTACGAACTATGGCGACAACATGATCGTCAACGAACCCTTAAAATGACCATTCTCCGTGTGAAACACAACAACATTTTGATCGGTATAAAACGCTCATAGAAAAGTTTACTGGACGAAATACAGCTACTTTCTAACTTCTACGTAAACATGATGCTTTTTCACGTGCATTCACCGCATCGTACTATATAGAATAAATTAGTCAACTCACACAACGAAGGGTATGGCGATCGCCTCGCTAATCATAGTAGAAAACATTATTATTATCGTTACGCTATGTAATGTTGCAATATAATGTCGAGTTCGCGACGAGTCCCGGTAAACGTAAGCCGTAAAGTATTCCGCTGAATCGATATTATAAATATCGACGTTTCATCGAACGATCGTGGTCGTAAAAGTAGCCGCAAAAAATGTTAATCGCTCAAGACTGTTTCTTTGCATATGTATTATGCTTGGAACGACCTTAAACTTTACAGTTTTACCGCGTGCTTTAGTATTTGTCACAGAGATCTCCGATTGGTTTTCAGATTTTCGAAATTACGAGTAGTCAAAATCTTTTGCCTCTACCTACCACTTGTCTGGCTCGTCGAATTTCAGGGTATTACTGTTCGCTTCGTAAACGTGATCTCGTGAGAACGATGGATTCTTCTATTGAGCAATGGTTACGGGGCGTACGTAGAGCTTGACATTTTATTGCTCGTCTCTTAATGTCACGGCACAATGCGCGTGAAAAAAGAAAAAAATACCGCACAGACACAAGTGTAACAATTCACTACACTCACGTACGTAATAATCTCGCGTTTCTCACACTTTCACGCTTCCAAATCCTCTTTCTTTCTCTCTCCCTCCCATACATTTAATTGTTTTCTTATTCGTTTAAACGTTAATATCTAAAAGTGTCATAATGGCTCATCCTGTTTATCGTGACATAGTTCAATGTACGCCTAGGGACTTAGCCTAACGATACGTTCCACGGAGGACGACCATGACAACAAATACGTCCTCGGAATCGAAACATCTTCCCCGAAAACACTTGTACGACGAAACTATGAAAGAAAAATTCTCACGATCGCGTTTCACATTCCGAGGAAAGTTTTACACCTACTTCACGGGTCTACCGTCTAAACTCTACCCTAACCTATCTTTTTTGTATGTTTAGTAGAAAATTTACAATTTTTCAGACACTTTGTACGAGCAACATCGATGATTTAATCTTTTTATCTCAAGTAGTATTTCTAGTTTCTTTTTTTCTCTCTAGGTTCTCATAAACATCGAAAAAGGTGTCGCTTCTTGCCGCGACACGAAAACGTACTTCTTACAAAGCGTTAACAAATACGCGATATATTCTTTAAGAATCGATACTACATATCGAAATAATGAAAGAAGTTCACTCTCACTTGTACGTCCGTTAAACTTTTGTTTTCTAAATAGAAACAATTTTCGAAGTAGAAGAACGCTTACAGAACGATAAACCCGGTTTACATACATCAGTTGGTTTGCCATTAGGCGCCACAGAAATGTTTGATTACGATTCAAGTAAAAATATATACACTTTTAAAAGCCACGAAAAAAGCAATTGCTTACAGAGTGTAGTACAACACGTTAGGAAATTTTTATTTTTGATTTACAACATTCCTTTTGCATATGTTTGTCTATGATCTCGATAAAAAATTTTAAGAAATTTGGAGGTTATTCTATGGTAAAAGCACAAACCCAATTGAACATTGTCGGACGTACATGTATATAAACTTTTAACATTATTTATTTATTTATTCAATAAATGGGAAGCCCCATTAGTGGACAAAGTAATAGAACATGATAATCAAAATAAGGTTACAAAGGTAATTATAATGAGAACTGGGTAACCAACTTAAGGACAAAATATTAAAAAAGTTTAAATATACAGTTTTTGAATGATGCAATGTGTCCATCCTTACATTGTTTGCCCAATTCACGTTAAAATTACCTTCATAACCTTATTTCGATCATCATGTTCTACTACTCTGTACACTAATGGGGCTTATTGAATAAATAAATTATATATTAACGCGTAGAATATTTTCCACAAAACAGTCTCGCATTTCTGTTAACGTTTGTTTCGTATCAAGTAACTTCTTTGTATTTTAATTCCACCGAATTTAAAAACGGAAATTCAGGGAAACGCGATGTTGAAATCGATCGATATGGAGGCGTATTACCGACGTCGCAGAGCACGACAGTTTTCTCAGTTTTCTTTTGAGGGGCGCAATCACAGTAAAAAATAATAATATGTATATTACAGAAACGATCGTGTGCTTTCGAATTGTGTATTTGGAACGCGTTTGTTCACAAAACAAAAGTACATCGAAAAGAGTTTCTTTGTCTACGTATAAAACGTATTAATCTCTGGTATAAAATATTGTTCTACGCGAACAGTCGTTCGAAATGAAACGAGAACTCGTTTCGCTCCTAGTTTACATATATCGTAGAACGTCATTGTGTCCTATCGCAGATTTGTGCACTCGATAAACCGTTCGTACATCGATGCACAAACGGTGCTCCCGGATTTACAAGGACTGCATCCAAAAATGGAATTTTGGATCGTAGGAAAAATCAGTCGCGACCGATTCGAGATCAATGAGAAGTAATCGCGCGGATTACACAAAATGGCGCGAATGCTTCCCTTTTCTGCGCTGCGATCGTACATTGACGGACTAATATAAATCGGTTACATCTTCTACCATTTAAAACTCTACATTTAGTTCTCGACTCGTTCCGTTCTAACCTCTAAACACTTTTGTAAGATTATCAATACCAACTTCGTCAATTATTATACTCTCCGAATTATGAAAATGCTTATTAAATAGCTCGAACGACGAACGATTTCGTTTAAACCTTAATAGATACTGGATACGTAACGGATAGAGATTCTATAATCTTATTATCAGTCGTCTGACTCAGTATTAGTCGGCAGTTATTCACGATTGGTCACAAAGTTTCAAGAGCCTTGTATACGCCCTATACGAGCATCAACATGACTTAATAATTTCTCTTTTTTTCTCTCTCTCTCTTTCTCTCTCTCTCTCTCTCTCCCTCTCTTTATAAAGTTTCATGGCACACAAGATCATTGTTCTTGAGATGCTTGCGTCGATCACGACGCCGGATTTAAGAAAAATTTACGAACGAAAAGAACACTTGTCGGTATACACGCGATCGTCGTAGAAATTTTTTGGCAGCGTTTAACAACGATTGCTTCGAGAAGTCTGGTAACGTTTACAGAATTCTTGCCACCGTGTTGCTCACGAAATGTTAACTCGTTTCTTTTTATTTTTTTTTGTAATTTTTGTTCTGGATCGGTTCTCTCTTTCTCTTTCCTCTATTTTTTTTTTTGTAATTTTTCGGTTTGGAATTCGCTCTTCGCTCAGATTATCTGCGATGTGCGAAAAGAATGGCGACAACGTCTCCCCGGGTTGATCTGGCCGGAGAGCTTTAGCAATAAATACCATAAAACTCCATGGCACAATTGATGTGCGCTGGGTGAAAATGACCGTGCGGCACCAGGTGACTCTGCATATGAGCTGTGTATCAGTCCGTTGGCGGTTCCAGATACGGTATTTCGCTCGTCACATTGAACGACTCGAAATAGTGATTCAGGAACTCGAACGTGGGTCGCTTCTCGGGGCTGGCGTCCCAGCATTGCAACATCAATCGGTAAATGCTGTCCGGCAGCGGGTGATTCAATGGTTTCGGCATTCGGTAGCCTTTGTTTATCTGTTCTATAGCTTCACGGCCCTGCATACCTGAAGAAACAAAAGCGATTCAATTTAAGAACGTGCACAAGGGTGAAAGTGACATTAACGCATTGTCGATCGACCGGAAACTGTAGGCGCCTGTTACGAACTACATGGCAAAGACTAAATATCCTGTTAAATCCCTTTCTCATTTGTTATTAGACTAATTTTTAATTACATGATAGTTTCAATTATTTTTACACGCTACTGGGCTTCGTTCGGTATGACCGTACTTCAATGTCTTGAAGAAGACCTTCGTCAGAGGCCGAAACATCGACCGATAAATCCTCGATTTTGTATTGGGCTCACGCCCATAAGAAGTTTTTATTTTTCTTAACACACTGGCTCGAGTTCTTGAGTAATCAATTGCATGGATTATTATGCACGATGGTGCACTGTCCCATTTCGAGCCGGGCAGTCAGACGATTCTTGAACAAACGATTTCTTAACAGATGAATAGGTCGTGCAGGTATTGTTCGTGCCCCAGATCTAAATCCACTAGCTTTACTTCGGAGGCCACTTGAAAATACAAGAACACCGTCGACTGGTTCGAAGATTGAGAAATTCTCATTTAATATTTTATAGAACAATTTCATGTATGAATATTTTTGTTGTGAAATTAATACATTAGCTAAACTAGCTGGTAGTCTTCGTGCGTCTAATTGTTCAGATAAGCAATGAGCGATAACATTTTAAATACTGGATGTTCCACAGAACTAGGCCAAGCAATCGTGTCGAAGTAATAAGAAAAGATAGGAAATAATTTATTACGAATAAATAAAAAGAAATGATAAAACACAATCTTCCCGCATTCGCCGGCAGAGGGAGACGCTCAACTCTTCTCTCTCGCAAGTACTCGTCCGACCATCTATTCCTATATACACTTCATGACAGAGTATCAAATGCTCCAGAATCTAAGATAGAGTGTACTAGGACGGGAAACTCCCTTTCCTTTTCTTTCTTTCCGCTACAGCAACAACCTACAGCTTTTGTGCAAGCTCGAGAAGCGTTATAACCTGACAGCAATCAAAATCTATTCGTCTAAAAACGAGGAGAGGTAAATCTCTGACCTCAGCTTCGAGTTAAACGCGCTCATTGTGTTCGTATTACTAGCACGATAGGACGCGCGGAGCATAAAAGGGGAAGAGATCTCCCCGGTTCGATCGTACAATGGATAGGAATCTTAAAGCAGGAAGATCTGATTGTAGTCTCGACAATGCGTTTAAAAAATGGGGGGAATCGGTGGATGACGAAGTGTCCGTCGGGACTCACCGGGATAAGGAACTTGGCCATAAGTGAAGAGCTCCATTAGCAAGATACCGTAGGACCACACGTCGCTCTTGATGCTGAATCTGCCGTAAACGATGGCCTCGGGGGCCGTCCACCTGACCGGGAATCTGCTTCCCTGTTTCGGACAGTACTCGTCGTCCTCGATCGCCCTGGCGAGACCGAAATCGCAGATCTTCGCCTTGTTCTTCTCGCCGATGAGAACGTTCCTCGCGGCCAAGTCTCTGTGTATCAGTTGCTTGCTCTCTAGGTGCTCCATGCCGGAAGCCACCTGTCCGGCGATGTAAATCAGATCCTCGAATTGCATGTATTTCCCGTCGCCCGTCCTCAGGAAGTCCAACAAGCTACCGTTGCACATGTACTCCTGCACGATGTAGATCGGTTCCTCCTTCGAACAGATGGCGTACAACGCCACCAGGTGTCTGTGCCGGAATTGCTTCATGATAGCTGCCTCCTGAAGGAACGCCTCCGTCGACATGGTCCCCGGTCGAAGAGTCTTCACCGCCACCTCGATCTTGTTCCGCCATTTACCGTAGTAAACCTCGCCGAAGTTACCGTGACCCAGCTTCCGTATCAGCTGTATCTCGTTCCTGTTGATCTCCCATTTGTCGCGCAACTCGGGTCCCAGGTCCCACATGTCCGGCTGCGGCTTGGGGCACGGTTTCGACAGCACGTGACAGAGACCCAACGCGTTCTCTGGAAAATTACAGACAAGAAACGTTAAACGGATAATTAAATTACAGTCAACTCTCCTTGCGTAATGCAGCAGTTGAGTTTTCTAAAACACGAGAAGCTATCGTAGAGTCTGTGGGGTCGCCGCCAGAGGGACCATTCTTCTCGTAAGCGCTCCTTCATCTCTCATCAACAGGACCCCACAAGCCCAAGGAATGATAGAAGTATTATTTATCGATCGACAGCTGAAGGAAACTGAAGCGTATTAAAGGGTGGATTTGAAAGGAACTTACTGCTGTACGCCATGACAAGGGCCTGCAAGGTGGGGAACTTCTGGCTGGTGGCGATAAAGAAGCCTCCATTGTCGAGCGGTTTAATTTTATAATGTTTCACGTGATGGCCCCTGCCCTCCTCCCAGTCCTTCACGGACAAGCTGTAGCCTCTGGGATTGTGCTCGCTGGGTCTGACCAGAAACGTTCCTCGGGGATTCTCGTCCACCAGGAGCAGCTTGCCGGCCTCCTTGCGCGAGACGTTCTCGAAGAACCAACTGCGTCAAAGGGGGGAAAAAGAACGATTTCGTTTATCGTTAAGTGGGGGCGTTACCCGGCGTCGACGGGTAAACTAGCGTTTAACGGAAATGCTCACTCTTCGCTCTCGACCGAACGCTCGACGGCCACGAAGTTCCAAGGAATGAGACCCTCTTGTAAAGTCGTCAAGTGCAAAACTTTCCACCAGTCGGGCTCCGTGTCGTCCAATACCTCCATTCGGTCGCCCTTCACGAAACTGACGTCCGTGCTTTCGCGCGCGGTGTAATTGTAAAGTGCCACCACGATCTTGTTGGACCTTTGCGAGTGAGCTGTTTCACAGAACAAACCAATTTACACGCGTTCGGCGAGACGATGTTCAGCCTAACATCTGTACTATATATAAATTCAAGAATACTTATTTAAATTGGTTAAAATAGTCTGTAATCTTGGGGATCTTGCGAAGCTTGTTGAGCTATTGCAGGAATAAAGAAAGATCGAAAGGAGCAACTGCTCCGTCATGTTCTATTTCCTCTTCAGCCTGAGACTGATCTTTCTTCCTCCCGCCATTTATGATATTAACGTTTAAACCGTGTGCTTAAAAGCGTTTTGTCGGCAAATAAATTCAGTCATTGAACTCACCATCGTGTATAGAATTTTACTTAAGCCCAACGTAACAGAATGTAACTGGTCGTCGTATCGAAGACAGAGATGGGAAAAATGTCGAACGAACAGAAGATAATAATTTATCGATAACGTTTCTCTCGTTTAATAAAAGTTTTCACCATCTCCGATCGGAAGACGGAGCGAAACTTGGCAAGCTTACAAGCTAAAATCGTCCATCGAAACTTAAGAGTAAACTTAAACGTAAATAATGCTACGAAACGAAATAAAATAACATAAAATACACACATGCAGGCATAACGACAGGCGAGCTTGTTTTACGGGGTTGATGCGGAATCTGTAGCTTACAAGGTGTGGGCCTCGGTCGAATGATGTCCGCCCTCGCTTGTACACCCCTTTGATTCGGGTCGGCGGTGTACCGATCCAAAGAACCTCCATTGCTGTGCTTCGAGCTCAGTCCTGTGTCTGCTTTCTTATAACCTGCGTAACGGAGTCGAGCAATTGTAAATAAAAAAATGCACCACGAATTCTCTTAACGATGCACGCTGACTTCGAACATTCACGAGGAGACGCAAGATCAGGGTTGAACTCGTCTCGTGGGAATCCAAGAACTCCTTTCTCAGTTTCAATTTTCGCAACCGTCGAGTCGCAAGCGATTAGAAATTACGGGGATACTTATCTTTAACTTCGTATTTAATTTCTTTCGTTCTATCTGAATCGTAAGGATTCTTATAAAATGGGAATGGGCTGCACTGGGCAATTGAATATTTTCCAGTGGTCCGAGCGGTTACGCCAAGCGCTGATATCTGCGAATTATCATTAAACACAAATATCGATAACAAGGTTGCGAGAAACATCGATTCCCGAATCGAATAAAATTCATTGCAACGCAACGAAGGAAAAATGATATAAGCTTCGTGATTTTTATAAACGCTCTTGCAGGATTTTTTCTTCCTACGATTGATTTTACGAGCACAGTTGCGTTCGGTAGCGAATCACGTAAAGTTTCATCGTTGGATCGGTTATGGAATCGAAGGACTGTGTTTCCAAGCTACGCGGATACGAAGAATTCTCGAACCTCTGCCTCGTTACTTTCGAGACCTTGACAGCCACTCAAAACTTCTCGAAGTATGCTTAAAACGTTCCCGTGGAGTTGTAAAAGAAAACTTATCGCTAAACAGCCGCGAGCGAACGACGGAGGAACAAGTTTTCGAGGTACTTACCAAGGGGTTGCGGCTCTTGCCGCTTGCTGCAACACTTGCCCATCTTGGAACACCTCGTGCTCGATGTTCGTCGTGCGATCCTGACTCTACGCGCCGTCTACAGCGATGCAGACCCCGAGGAAAGTCTCCATCACTCTCGAGGACGTACCACGGAGGCTTCCGTTGCGATTTTTCGGATCACTTTCTTCTCTCCATCGCGTGTTTATCGACGCTGCGCACCTGCAAGGTGAACCAGAAGTGCATAAGCGATTCCTCCGGGGCCCATCGTACTTCGCGAGACCGGCGAGCACGGTTTTCAGGTCAGATACAGGATGCGTTGTCATAATTCGCGGTTACGAGAGACGATCGTTCAGCCGTGGAAAATAACGTGGCTCGATAACGTTTCGACCGTGACGCTTTATTATTATTAGAGATTTCTTGTCGACCGCGTACCTGGGAAAACTGCAAACATATGAAAAATATCGTCGACGGTCGGAAGTCGGTAAGAAGTTTTGAGAACGTCGCGAATATGTTAATTTCGGGGTAGAAAATTGTTCTGATAAATTTCCATCTTGGATGAACGATCGCTCCAGCGTAAAATGGTGGAGATTTTCACGGTGACTAAGATCGAGCTGGACGCGTTTTATTATCTAAGGGAGGTAGGACGAAAAACGAGGGAACTTTCGCAGACAGATCTAATATCTCGATTTTATGAAACTGGTCTCGAGTTCTTTGCGAGCTCGGTTGGATCATCGATCATGCTGTATTTAAAGAAGACTTTGGGGCGTTCGCGTCTTCTCCAAGACCACGTGTCCCTCTCAAACGCGAGACAAATCTGCGTTTCCGAGTAACATGCCAAATTAGAACCTAAGTAACACGACTCGAATTGTCATTCTTGCTAAACTTATATCTATTGGAGAACAATTTTTGCTAGTTTCAAATTAGCCCAAGTTTCCACGATTTTCGTCCCACACGAGTGTCTTTCTCTCCTGGCCGGAAACCACGGAACACTCCCGATGGGCCGATAAACAAATTACGGTCGCGTCGAAGCGGCGAGAAATGAAATCATCGCTTAAAAGGAATGCGAGAGGATAATGACGTAACGCAAAGAGTTGAAATTTTAATTCGACCATTTCAGACAGGTCGAAGGTGCCTCGAGAACGCGATGGTCTGTCTGTCCTTCGTAAATATAGCCGAAACCGCTTCTGTCGAGACGGTTCTCATAGTTATTCGGGATTTCTGGAATTTCTCGCAGGACTCGAATCACGGAATTTAAGATCAAAATTTAGGTAAAAGAAACGTAATGTAAAAATGGTGGTTCAAGAAAATTTAATTCGATAGGTTCATCGAGAATGTCAGCTGGCTGTGAACCATGTAACAGGAAGTGACGATGCTTTCTGTAAAACGGGTCGACAAGTCGTGTGGAATTAATTTGACAATTTATTTTTGCATCTCGACATTCCAGATTAACCTTTACTGCAACATCCATAAATAAACGTTGGTATTTCGATTAATTTTTTTAATTTTCAGTATACAATTTATAGCCTCAAAGGTTTCAGAACACGCGCTCCTCCAGTTCCTGCGTTCCGTGTTCTATTTTTTAATCAGCGTAATAACAATATTCGTGACTCGACAACACGGTTAGTAATTGAACGAGCAAAACGAGTTACAAGAAGACCGAGAGAACCGGGATCGATCGACGAAAGTTCTCCCGGTAACTGTGACAAAAACAGATTCTAAGCAACGGTTTCTCGACGACGCGAACGGTGTACAAAAGTGACGTCAACGAATTTATAAAGAGACACGCGTATCGACGCGGGCAAATATCTTATCCAAATACAAAGTTTGATTTTTAATTTGTACGATAAAAATTACAATCTACATTGGGTGATTAAATTGTGTTCGAACGAACGCTCGTTTGAATTATTTTCAGGAGAAGCAGGGATGCGCAAACCCGGCGATATAAATGAATAAGGAAATCCAGGTATAATAATAAATATGTATGCATCCTAAGCGGAGAGAAAGCGGAATATTTAACAAAGCCTGGGAAAAGGCGCAGTCAGAAACTAATAGCGAGAACAAGATGCCGGAAATCTGGAACGAAATAAATAGTGGCTGCAAGAGGGGGAAAAAGAAGATGTAGGATTGCACAAGTGGAGAGACTTTAAAAGCAATGCTGGAGGATCGTTCCAAGACAGAAAGTACGAGCCATTCCGCCTCTAAATCGGCCACTTTTGCATCCAGACGTTAGACATCTGGGTAAAATTAAAATTATAATACAGGGTTTCGGTCATCACTTTTATTCGTTTGCTTATTTGATAGTTCCTTTGCATCGGGTGAATGCGGAATTTCATATAAAATATAAGACGAGAGTGACCTAAAGAGAAAATTAATTTTGTTTCCTAGTTTTATGGTATTCAAAATGAATTTCTTAATTAATAGTAGTCGTGTATGAATCGAAGGTGGACAAAGGAGGGTCGAAGAGGCAGGTCCCGAGCCACGGTGCGAACTTTACGAACGGGGGTAGGGGGTTTCCGTAAATCAGAAGATGCCAAGCGTTCGCGCTCGCGGGTAAAAGTTTTTAATTAAACAGCCCGTGGGGCGGTGTCTCGAATATTCGACCAACAAACGTGGACAGAACGACGCGGTCGATTTGGACGTAGCCTGGCCCACCCCACGACTACGAACCCCATGAAACGATGGCGCGAGCCCGTACGGAAACGAGCCACCATCGGGATGAAAGCTTCCTCTCTCGTTTTGCGTCCGTGTTCGGGGCCAAGGCGAGTACACCCACGCAACAAAAACACACGCACGGACCCAGAGGGACGGTCGATATCCCACGGTGGTCCGTACACGCGTACACTCGGTATCCGATGGGGCTTTTATGCGCCGAACAATGGCGACGTTTCGTGCCGCGATGGACAAAGACGAATTAAAATTTCGTCCTGACGCACTTTGCCATCGCTTTAGGAGCACCGCGAGCCACGCAACAATGCCAGAGGAGAGGACCTGGCTGGATGAAAGGTGGGAATCTCCGCGAGAGAAACTGCATCGACGCTTTTCCCGCCCCCGGAAAAATGTGTTCCCAACAATGCGCGTGACAAACGACCCCGGTTGCAGGTCAACGATCGAAACCTTTCGCTTCGTTTAATTCGTCGCTGGGTCACCGGGTCGCGGCGACCTTTTCTATCAAGCTGGTTCATTTGCCTTTTCTACAAATTATTGAAGGACCCATTTCTTCCTGCTGTGGGGCGAAAGATCATAGACTTGTCGATATGGCTTCCCAACAGGCCCAAGATTACAATGAAAAAGAAGTCAAATGAAAATTATTTTGTACACTCTTCACAAAATTGCACGGCAACGTCGGATGTAACATTTGTTAAAATAAAATCAGAGGAATTTTTCGACCCTTGGCAACGCAACCCTCCAGAGTCTCGCGCGCCGGAAGTAATTAGCCTTCGAAAACCTGAGTATTTAATTTTTAAGAAAGCATCTGATCGTTCGTGGCCTGTTTGGAGAAATAAAATCTCGACAACCCCCATGGTTGCAGCATCGGAAACGAAGACCCTCGTCGCCGAGGAAGTAAGCGATCGTTTATCAATGGCTTCCGTACGGAGTACAAAATATATACACGGATAATCCACGGGGGTTTCGACGCACGAATCGAAGGAGAGCTTTCGGTTGCACGCGTCCAGCAACCCTGCAGATTTGTCTGGCTCGCCTCGAACCCTCGAATATCGTCTTCCCGAATGGATATATAAGCTTGTGATTTCGGGGGACTATGCCCCTCTCCTTTTACGCTCGATCCCTGCAACTCTGGAACGACCAAGGGTGGCGATCGAGCATTATTGCGTCGATGTGTGCACAGTTGAATTTCCCTCCGCCCCCTCCACCCGGCACACAAATGAATTCACCGCGCCTAGTTCGCGCACGAAACGCGATTACGCGATGATGAATCGCGCAGAGCAAATAATGTCCTCGCGTGTCCATTAGAATGTCGGTCGCCTATGGAAACCCAATTACCGTCGCTGGGACGCGACAAATATAAACAATACCAGAGACGAGGTATACGAGACCTTACAGCCAATGTAATCCTTTGGCTTTCCAGTTTTTCTCACATTTTGGAGTTAAGGAAAAATTTTTTGAATATTCTTAGAATTTCTACATACTCGTCACCTAAATACGCGTTGTTTCCATTTTGAAAAATTAAAATCCCCCAATCCGTGCAGGAATTATGATGTCTTAAAGATACGCAAGAAATTTCAGTAGAATAAGTGGAATAAGTGTTCTGGTCAGACATTATAGTTTCGGTAAAGAATTTTTTTTCTCGAAAGTGAGTAGGATTTCGGCGGTATGTATATCCACCAGAAATGATTGTAAGTAACCCCCCTGGTTGAAAATAATTTTTTTAGAATGATTTGAAATTTTTCAATTTCGACGAAACTTGTCCACCTTCCTGAATTTTTTTCTCAAAACTGCGTAGGATTTCGGGGTATGTGTATTCACCAAAAATGATTGTAATTAACCCCCGCAACTGAAAATAATTTTTTCAGAACGATATGAAATTTTTCAATTTCAACGAAAAGCTTGCCCACCTACTGAATTTTTTTCTCGAAACTGCGTTGGATTTCGAGGGTATGTGTATTCACCAAAAATGATTGTAATTAACCCGCGCAACCGAAAATAATTTTTCCAGAACGATATGAAATATTTTTGAATAATTTATGCACCTACCCCTGTCGATTTTTTATAATGTTTATATCATACTTCTCTATCACTTATTGTATAATTGGGCATCACTTTCACTATTTAATACCGAAGAAAAAATTTTGTTTAAACTACTTAGTAAATAGAATAAACAGGATAGTGTAATAAACATTTATCAAACATAAGGAAAACAAGTTTGTTTTCAGTTATACCCATTATAGTGTACGAATACGAGTGGGGAGTAAATGTATGTAGAGGGTGTTTTAAAATAGTTTGTCCACTACAATGGAGTCAATGGAGTTTCTCTGAAAAAAGGTTCAATATTTCTAATCCAGTTATGGTGGCCAGTAAACGAACCCATTGGGAACGACGCCGGGGGTTGTTACTGGCTTCGAATCCCGGAGCTGCCCCCTGTTTCGTCCGAATATTAGGGGTTGGAGACTCTCTCCCCTCGACTACGGGCGAACATTTCGGGCATAGGGGACAGAAACCGTAATTTGCAACGCCTCCGACGACGTCTCGTTCCGTCTCCC